CTGGGCAGCCAAAAAAATCAAATAACAAATGGCTACACTACAGTCTTTCTGAACATTTCCCAAGTGAAGCAGCTCTGGACACCAAAAGGCGGTGTCCCAGAAAGAAGTAACAGCTTTAAATGCATTTATTCAACATATAAAACCTAAGTTATTAAAACAACTCATCAGTTACTGTTTGAGCAATAGCAAAAATGACTGAATATAGAACATAATAACCAGACACCAAAACCCAATAAGAATGTTATATCAAATAAAAATAATAGCATTAAAAAGAAATTTAATGGATAGACTAAAAAATACAACTGGATAAGAGCACAGGTCCTGGAGTGACCCTGAATGAGTTACTCAGTCTCAAATAATTCATGTAACTATGTGTACGACAAATACTGTTTTCATCCCACAGACAAGCCAGAATTCTTGACAGTGGCATATGTAACATTTACAAGTTACTGCATAAACTTGAGGTAGACATGAGGTCAGTCCTCTTTTATTTTTCTAATTAATTGCTTAATCCCATACTGTCTTTTTAGTAGGAAGTTCAGGATCTCCCTTTGGGCTCCTCCCTTCCCCTTTCCAAAATCCCTCCCTACTCAGTGGAAAAGAGGTTCACTCTGTCTTCTACACTGAAGCAGAGAGAAAACTGGTTCTGCCATTGCTTCTTTCGGGGACAGAGTATTCCTGCTGAAAGCTAGTTCAAGAGACTGTCAGACTGAGCGTGTCCACTGGTGATATACATCCCTGTTCAGGCAGCCTCAGGGCATGAAGAGAGGATGAGCTCACTCATCCAGGGATAAACCCCACAGAGATTGCTCCACACTTGGTTCCCAAGATTACACAGGGCTGTTTCCATTCTTTACCACATTAAAGACTAAAGACCCAGAATTACGCTCCATTTTTCCTCAGGATCTGGGAGTGTTTAGCTTTTAAATCCTACAAACTCAAAAGCACAGATTACATCCTTTTCCCCCTGACAAGAAGCCTTCTCAAAAATTGTCCTAAGGAATGAAACCCTCAGTGTCTCCTAAGCGTGACCACCCCTTTTCCCCACACACACTTCTGGAGGAGTCTACTTTTAGTGTCTCTCCAACATGATTCATTGGGCTATGGGAAATTCCCCAGCTGGTTGTTAGATAATCACTTTTGACTTCTCTATTCTTTGAAATCAAGTTAAAGCACAATTTGCTTTTTCCAACTACAATGCCAAGGAATCCTCTTCTGGGAGTACAACATGCTAAGTTATATGTATGAATTCTCTATTCACTTCTCAATGTGTACAGAAGAAAGTCCATGGCTTATAAGGCCCCACATGATCTGGCTCACACTGTTCTGAAGCTTATCTCATACCATGCAATCCATTTCCCCAGTGACACTAGCCTGCACTTTCTTCCTTGAATATGCCACACTCAGTCCTGCTCATTGCCTTGGACTTGGCACTCTCTTTGAAGGCTTTCCAGGACTCTTCAACTGGTTGGTCTAACTTTACTTCTCAGTTTCAGTGTTAGCACCTCAGAGTCTTCCCCTGAATTCCTTCACTAGAGTCTAATTGAATCACTCAATTTATTTCTTCTGTAATATTTGCCCTTCTTATGATTTATCTTTTTTATTGTTTATTGTTTGCCACCTTCCACTAGAAGTGTCCTTCTTCTTCTTGTTCATTGCTGTTTGCAACTCCTTAAGTTCCTGAAACTAGTAGGTAATCAGTAAGTATTTCTTAAATAAAATGAACTAATCTATACAAAGCATAGCTTTTTTTTTAGATCTGTCTCTTTATCTGTAAAGATGGAGATAACATCTGTGCTGTAAGGATCAAATAAGAGCTTATGAAAGCCCTCTGATATGGTACTATTACAAATGTATAATTATAGCTGTACATAATATATTAGAAATAGAGAATTGATAAATCTTTAAGCAGTTACCTGCTAGGCTGTGAGCTCCTCCAGGGCAGGAACTATATCTATTCCTCTTATCACCATGTAGTCCATGCTTAGCACAGTGTTGTCTGCCGTGTAAATGAATATTTGTTGAATGAATGGATGAAGCAATAAATGAGCATAGCAACTCTTTTCCTCCAGAAAGACTTCCAACTACAAAGAATAAATTTAGTTGTAGTCCTTAGTAAAGAATTACATCAATATTATTGTGTTTTATTCTTCACTTACTCATTCAGAAGAATTACTGAGTGTCTACTAATGTGCCAGACACTATGCCAGAGGCTGAGGATACAATGATAAAAACAAGCAAACCAACCAACCAACAAATAATGTCCTTGCCCTCATGGACCTCAAAGTATGGTGAGAGAGGTATTAGTCAAATGATCAGAGAAATAAATTTATATAGTTACAACTAAGATAAATACAAAGGAATGCATTTGAATTACTTATAAAATTATTATGCATAGTTATTTAAACCAGATGTTATGAAGTTTCTCAGACAGAACATAGATTTTGGTTATTAAATAACTTTTTGAAGAGAGAGCTGGATCCAAGAATATACTAAATTAATTCATATTTTTGGCTCATCCACACAGGCTTATTAAATTAAATTAACTACAGAATGATTCACATGTTCAATTATTTGTTTTCAGGGGAAATTTCCTCTAACTCTCTTCATCCTTCATGTTTCACCCATTTCTTTTCACCTCACCACCCCCTGCCTCTGGCAACCACCAATTTGTTTTCTGTATCTATAAGAGTGATTTTTTTTTTTATTCCACATATAAAAGAGATCATGTAGTTTCTTTCTCTGACTTAATTCCACTTAGCATAATGCCCTCAAGGTCCATCTATGTTGTTGCAAGTGGCAAGATTTCATTATATTTTATTGCTGAATATTCTATTGTATGTATATAGCACCGTGTCTTTATCTACTCATCTATTGGTGGACACTTAGATTGTTTCCACTTCTTGGTTATTGTAAATAATGTTGCAATAAACACCAGGATGCATATATCTTTTCAAATTAGTGTCTTAATTTTCCTCAGAAAAATACCCAGAAATTGGATTGTGAGATCATATGGTAGAGTGTCTGCACCAATGTACATTCCCACAAAGAATGTACAAGGGTTCCCTTTTCTCCATATCTTAGGCAACATTTGTTATTTCTCGTCTTTTTTATAATAGCCATTCTAACAAATGAAAAGTGGTATTTCATTGTGGTTTTGATTTGCATTTCCCTGAATGAATAATGTTGAGTATCTTTGCATGTACCTCTTTGTAATCTGTATGTCTTCTTTGGAAAAAGTGTCTATTCAAATCTTCTGCTCACTTCTAAAATCAGATTTTTTTTTTTTTGCTATTGAGTTTATGAGTTCTTTATATATTTTAGATATTAGCCTCTTATCAGATACATTATTTGCAAATATTTTCTTCCATTTAGTAGGTTGCCTTTTCATTTTGTTGATGGTTTTTATTGCTGTTCAGAAGCTTCTGAGTATGACGTAGTTCCACTTATTTATTTTTGCTTTTTGGTGTCAGATTCAAAATATCATCACCAAGACAGTTGTCAAGGAGCTTACCACCTGTCTTCTTTTGGTTTTATGGCTTCAGGTTTTTAATCCACTTTGAGTTAACTTTTGTGTATAGTGTAAGATAGTGGTTGAATTTCATTCTTTTGCATGTGGCAGTCAAGCTTTCCCAACATCATGTGATGTTGGGACTTTCTTTTCTCCATTGTATATTCTTGGCTCTTTTGTCATAAACTGAGTATGTATGCATGGGTTTATTTCTGGGCTCTCTATTCTGTTCCATCAATCTGTATGTCTGTTTTTATGTCAATACCATACTGTCTTAATTACTATAGCTTTGTAATATAGTTTGAAATCAGGAAGTATGATGCTTCCAGCTTTCTTCTTTCTCAAGATCTCTTTGGCTGTTCAGTTTTTTGTGGTTCCATTCAAATTTTAGGATTATTTGTTCCATTTCTTTGAAAAATGACATTAGAATTTTGATAGTGACTGCATGAAATCTGTAGATTGCTTTGGTTTGTATGGACATAACAATGTTAATTCTTCCAATCCATGAGCATGATACATCTTTCCATTTATCTGTGTCTTCTTCCATTTCTTTCACTCACATTTTGTAGTCTCAATATACAGGTCTTTCCCATCCTTAGTTAAATTTATTCCTAGGTATTTCATTCTTTTTTTTTTTAAAGATTTTTATTTATTAGAGAGATGGAGAGAAAGAAAGAGCATGAGAAGGGGGAGGGGCAGAGGGAGACGCAGACTCCTCGCTGAGCAGGGAGCCCGATGTAGGGCTCTATCTTGGGACTGAAGGCAGACACCTAACCGACTGGAGCCACCCAGGCACCCAGTATTCATTCTTTTTGATGCAACTGTAAATGAGATTGTTTATTCTCTTTGTGATAATTTATTAGTGTATAGAAACACATATTTTTGCATATTAATTTTGTATCCTGTAATTTTACTGAGTTCATTTATTAGTTCTAATGGTTTTTTGACAGACTCTGTAGGGTTTTCTATGTATAATATCATGTCATCTGCAAATAGTGAAAGTTTTACTTCTTCCTCACCAATTTGGATGGCTTTTCTTTCTTTCTGTTGTCTTCATAGCTAGGACTTTCAGTACTATGTTGAAAAAAAGTGGTGAGAGTAGACATTGTTGTCTTATTCCTGATCTTAGAGAAGCTTTCAGCTTTTCACCATTGAGTATGGTTAGCTGTGGGTTTGTAATATATGGCCTTTATTACTTTTAGGCACATTATCTCTATACCCACTTTTTTGAGAGTGGTATATGTGTTAGGTACCATTAATTAATGTGGTATATCACATTAACTGACTTGTGGATGTTGAACTATCCTTGCATCCCTGGAATACATCCCACTTGATCATGGTATATAATCTTCTTCATGTACTGTTGAATTTGGTTTGCTAATATTTTGTTGATGATTTTTACATCTATGTTCATCACGTATACTGGCCTATAATGTTTTTTCCTTGTGGCAATCCTTGCCTGGTTTTGGTATTAAGAATACAAAATTTCCTTTCTTCAATGTGTTTTGGCTTGAATTCTGCCTAATCTGATCATGACTTCTGCTTTCTGTTTACATTTGCCTTTGTTGACAATTCTATATTCAACCATTAAATATATGTGTTTTAGGTGAGCCTGTTGCATCCAGCATAAAGGCATAAATGTGATTTACTTTGTGAAAAAAAAAAAACTTTTCTGGGATTATGTCAATACAATTATGATATGACATATATTTAGTCTCATATCTATCACAGATTTTTTTTAAATTGACAGTTTGTGTCAAAAGCCAAGATGGAGTTAGACATGGAAGAGATTTACTAAGCATAATGCCTGTGAAAGAAAAAGGTGAGAGGGAACAGAAGGAGGTCAAAAAAACCCTTCAGACCGTGAAACAAGTCTGAAACTTGAGAAAGAGGGGAAAGCAAGGACAGTTGGATAGGAAGAGCCTCAGACTATAATGCAGCTCTGAAAACATTGTGGCTAGTCCTAAGGGGGGGCTCTAGACAAAACTGCCCATTAAGAGAGTATCTCACTAGACAGGCTCTAATACTCAGGCCATGCTAAGTCACTGGCTGGAGTTGCAGAAGAGAACATGTCCTTAGTCCCAAAGCTGTAGCACATCCTAAAGGTGAGGCTATAGGTTAACTGCATACCTCAAGGCAGGGTCACTCTTGAATGAGTATCTGAGTGAAAGAGCGCCATGGCTGCCACAAAGATTCTATAATATTTTATTCAAGTGTAATCCATATGCAGTGAAATGTATAGATCTTAAGTGTACACAGTCTAACAAGTTTTGACAAATTTACAAATCCATTTACCCCATCCCAAACAAGATACAGAATATTTCCTTCACATAGAAAATTTCCCTCAAGCCCTTGGATCCAACTCCCCTTACTTCTGACCCCTGCTACCCACTTTCCCCACACACACTGAGGCAACCGCTGTCCTGATGTTTATTACTATAGTTTATTTTTGCCTGCTTTGAACTTCATATAAATGGAATCACAGCACATTCTCTTTTGTTTCTGGCTTCTCTCACGCAATACAATGTTTTTGATATGTACACATGTTGTTGCATGTATCTTAAAGTTTTTATTCCATTGTATGAATATACCACCATTTCTTTATCCACTTTTCTTTTATAGACATTTGGGTTGTTTCCAATTGTTGGCTATTATAAACAAAGTCACTGTGAATGTTTGTGTGTAACATTTTGTAATTTTTGTTGACATATTTTCATCAATCTTTGATATATACGTAGAAGTGGGATTGCTGAGTCATACAGTAGGGTATGTTTAAATTTATGAGAAACTGTCAGTTTTCCAAAGTATTTGTACTATTTTTCACACAAACAGCTGGCTGTGTTTTGATTGGCATTTAACTTAATCTACATACTAATTTGAGGTGAGCTGGTATCTTAACAATATTGTCTTCCAGCCAATGAACATCATGTCTCTCTCCATCTTCTTATGTTTTTTTTTTTCTTTCAGAAATGTTTCATTGTTAATGGCATAGAAGACATGTAAGGCTTTGTTAAATATGTTTGTAAATATTTCATGTTTTTATGCTATTGTAAATAGTATTGTTTAAGAATTTTCATTGTTCAATTATTCATTGCTATTGCATAGAAACAAATTTAATTTTTATACATTGACCATATAGTCTGTGAACCAGATAAAACCACTAATAAGTTCTAGCTGTTTGTTTTGGTCTCTTGGTAGATCACTTTGTATTTTCTACTTACACTATCAGATTGTCTTCCAAAGGTAAAAAATAATTTTTTTCCTTTCCAAACTTGATGCCTTTAATTTCTTTTCTTTGCTTTATTGCTGGACCTGGTGAGGACCTCTAGTACATAAAAAAAGTGGTGAGTGCAGATATCATTTCCTTTTTTCTGATCCTCGGAGCAACTGTTTAATATTTCACCATTTTCTCTTCAGTATGGATCACACTTTCTTGCTTCATCTAATGTCTTATTTTAAAAATTCTATTTCCAACATTAAGTATAAAGGACCAGTGTTGTTTTATTTATTTCCCAAACAGTGTAAGTTCTTTCCTTTTTTGGCTATTGGGAAAAAAAAAAAAAAGACTGTTTATTTGGATTCTTCCTAGGTTTTGAGTTGATCTGAAGCTGGCCTACAGCTTTAGTTAGGTTGAGTTTATCCACCCTCCACTATGGAAGCTCATATGGCTCTCTGCTTAGCTAGGAAGAATTCATTCATCCTAGTACTCAGTCCGTCAAGCCTTCCAGGCATCCAAGACTCTTCTGTAATTCCACAGAAAAGTAAATTTTTATTTTGTCTCAGATTTTCTTGTACCATAAACATGAAGGTCTTTTGTTATCTTTTTACATCTTAACCATTAACATTGTGTTTTATTATTTTCCTTACATGTGTGCATGTAGGTGCTTAAATCTTCATATATTTGGAAGAGTTCAATTTTATTCTTCTTATCTTTCCTGTCCCTTATTGTATTTTTCTCACCATCTACTTTTTTTTTGGTGCTTGTTTCAATTTCATCTTTATTTCTCTGACAGTATTGCTTTTGTCTTCTGCATCTTTCTTGAAATCTGCTATCTCAGATTTCCTCTCCTCTTTTTGTCTACTGTTTTCTTTCTCCTTCCATTTCTTTTTTTGTAGACTTCCTTCATAGAAATGATTGCTTCTCCAAAGCAAAGTGTGTGTCACAATTTTTTTCTTTTTTTTTTTAAGTAGGCTCCATGCCCAGCACAGAGCCCAATGCAGGGCTTGAACTCATGACCCTGAGATCAAGACCTAGGCTGAAATCAGGGGTTGGACGCTTAATAAACTCAGCCATCCAGGCGTCCCATAATTTTTATCTTCTATATGGCCACCTTTTGGTGATCTGTTGCTAAATTTTGTGCCTCTCTTCCACGTTTATCTTACAGTATCTTTGTATTGAGGTTGTGCCCAGTTTCTTTATTACTCACTATTGAAAGAGCTGAATTTTCTTGGACCAGTTATTTGATGGAGATTCTCCCTTCTGCTTTCTATAAATACATCATTGTTTGCAATGCTTTGTTTAGCCCCAAACCAGGTTCGGCAGTTTTTTGCTACCACTTTGCTTACTCAATTTCTCAGACCCTTCCAAACAAGAGATATAGCTTTTTCTCTTTAGGGCAGGACCTTTATCCTCAGAGAGAGATTATTTTCTTTAATGCATGTGCTTTTGAGATCTGCTATTATTGGACCCATCTGCTACTTTTTTTCACTTCTTGCCATGCAACTTTTGTCCAGATCTCAGCTGCCCTTGGTAGCTCTTACATACTTTAAGTTTGCTTATTATAGTCTTTGCAGGATTTTTTTAAAAAATGTTAATTTCCCTATTGCTTTTATATGATTTCCAGGACAAGGAGGAAAAAGCCCACTTGCACAACTGCATTCATATTATAAGTGACCTGAAGGTATTTTGGCAGAGACCTAAGTTTAGCTCCTATCTTATAAAGACTTATTGTTCTGTCTACTCTTTTGGATGACATTAAACCCAACTGTAAAACCAGTAACTAATGACTTAAAATGTTAAGTTCTCTAATTTGTCTAATTAAATACATGTAGAATATTTCCCACTAGCTCCTGTAAAGAGAAATTTTATTCAACTGCAATTACTAGAGCAATTCAGCTAATGATAATACTTTGATTTCTCATCTAGAAAGTGAATGCATGATAAAACAAGCATTCTAACACTCCAGAAACAGAAAATTGTAGGATAGCCCCCAGCTTTTCTTAGAGCATTAGGACATGAAGAAGAATACCTAGTAGAGTTGGATAAGCTGTGAGGGGGTTGTAAGTACAAAGATATATTTCACTGTGAAATTAGAGTAGGCACTGAAGTTGAAGGCTGGCTCCTTCTGAGTTTTCTTTTAGGAACACTAAGCAATCATCAGTACAAAGGTCACAGAAGTATCTTATGAAACCAACGACTTATGACTTTTTGTGGCTATGGAACTGATCAAATCAGTTGTCAAATACAGACTGAGAGCACAGGGGCATGAACCAAAAGGAGAGAAAAGGAAAGGTAAAGGAAAAGGAAATAAATAAGAGTATTCATATTTATAGATATTAATATTTTCTAATATTTTTTCTTTTTTTAATGTAGCCTTAAAATGCAGGATGATTAAAGATAATGAGGAATTTTCTCTTCATCCTCTTCCCCAACTCCATCTGGCTCTATATAATGTAGTGTTCCCCAAACTTTTCCCCTCACATGTAGAAAATGGTATCTGTATCACACTAAAATAGACTGAGAGAATTCAGGAGTATGAGTTAGTGAAAAAAAAAATTACCTTTCTTTATATAAATATAAATACGATCAGAAAATGAAAGAAATACAACTACTAGAGAAGATACTGTTGAGTTAATATACAGTTTCAAAATAAAGTATTTTCAAAATTTTAATGAGAAATTTGAGCTTGTTGGGCGCCTGGGTGGCTCAGTTGGTTAAGTGACTGCCTTCGGCTCAGGTCCTGATCCTGGAGTCCCTGGATTGAGTCCCGCATCGGGCTCCCTGCTTGGCGGGGAGCCTGCTTCTGCCTCTGACCCTCCCCCCTCTCATGTGCTCTCTCTCTCTCATTCTCTCTGTCTCAAATAAATAAATAAAATCTTTAAAAAAAAAAAAAAGAGAAATTTGAGCTTGTTTCTCTGACTGTAGTGTTTCAGTAATGGATTTTGTGTGTGAAACAGCTATACACACTTCCTGGTCAAAATTTATGATTAAAAAAATAGTGCTTGTGACAGTGTCTAAAAAATAGTACATTTTGAATTTTTTTACAATTATTCAAAGTTTACAACACTTGAAATTATCTTGAAGCTCTTCCTTTCTTTAAAAAATCAATGTTAAATCTTTTTCATGATAATGTAAATGATTCTTGTATTTTCATCAAATTTCTCTTATCAAGTATATCAAACTAATCATGAAGCTCTAATTTGTAGGACACACACTAGAGCAATCATCCTGTACTTAGTTTGGATGTTACAGCTGTTTTTATTATTTTAGTGACTATTATAGATACTATACCACACAATTCTAATTTACAGAAGACTAAAGTTGATCAATATATTTACCCTTTTTTACAGATAACACAACCACCTTAGATCATTAACTCCTTTCGGTTCCCTCCCAGGCTCTGTTTTATTATTCTTTTGTAACCCAGAAGATATTAGAGACATTATCAATTTACAAAGTCAATCATTTGTTTATATTTTAACCACATATTTACCACTTTTCTTGTTCATCATTCATTCCTCCATTTTAGGCTTTTGATTTTGGATCCTTTACCCTCTCTCTGAAGTGTTTTTTGCTGTTTTGGGGGGGTTATTTGGGGGGGGGTTGGAATCTCTTCTAGTGAGTCAGTTCTCAGTTGCAAACTTTCTCATTATTTTAATATATTTCATCATTGCTCTGGAAAGTCAGCAATCACTTTATTCATTCCTTGAGAATAATCTTTCCCTGGCTGCTTTTAAGATTCTTTTTATTATTGATGGCTTTCTCTTTACTTAGACTGCTTGGGATTCACTGGACTTCTTAAACCCATATTTTGGTATCCTACTAGTTTCAGAAAATTCTCAGCCATTACCTATTCAAATGTTGCCTCTACCTTATTCTTTCTCCTTTCTTTCAGATTCCAATTAAATGTATTTTAAAGTTTCTCTCTGTCCTCCATATCTCTGTATTTTTTAAAATCTCATTTTTGCTCCATTCTGCGTTCCTTCTGAACTACTTTTTAGTTTACCAGTTTGCTTTTCAATTTTGTGTAATGTTACTGAACTCATACAATGAGTTTTAAGTTTTGATTATTATAGTTTTCACTTCTAGAAAGTCTGTTGGTTCTTTTTCAAATACGCTAAATTGTGTTTTGCTTCTAGTTCCCTGCACATTTTCAAGCTTGTCTCTTACTTCTTCAAAAAGGATAAACATGAGATCCATGTCTAGAATTCTGAAGTCCTGCATGTCTATTTATACTGTCTTTTGTTTCTGTAACAAAATAGCATAAAAACATGAAATATTTACAAACATATTTAACAAAGGCTTACATGTCTTCTATGCCCTCATTCATGATGCCTTGCTTTCTTCTGTGATGTTCACTGTCTTTGAGCATTTACTCAAAACCTGGGATAAGGTGACTTCAAAAGAACATTTGTTTTGGCTTCTATGACATGACTGGAGTCACCGTCATTTAATTTCAAACCAAGTTCATGGCTTAAGGGTCTCTGGATTCTGTAAGAAAAAAGATCTGGTTTCCAGCTCTGGCTCCATGTTTTACCTTTCTCAAGTTTCTTAATTGCACACAATCTCCATGTCTTCATCCATAAAACAAAAATAATAACAATATTTATTCTATAGGTATGTACTAATAAGTTGTAAAATGCTTAGCACATAGTGCTCATGATAATTTACATTATCATGAAAAAGATTTAACATCATTATGTCATTTAAAGTGAGTCTTCCCCCAATTTGCCTTAATGTCATAAAGAATTAGAAATATACGGGTCAATTCAGAGATAGGCAGGAATTAAATATCTATTAGTTAAGCAGAGAACTGAGACATTTTACATTAGGAATCAGCAGAGCAAAGTAGTTAACATCATGGGCCTTGAAACTAAGGAGTTAGGTTAAACTCTCTTTGCAACTTAGAGTTAAGCTACTTAACCTCTTTAAGCCCTAGAAACTTCATTTGTAAAATGAGAATAGTTATACTGCTTGAGAGCTTGTTCTGAGCAATGAAATTCTACAGTGCATTTAGTATTTAAATAAAAGGTAGACATTTTCTAGGTAGTAATGACAAAGATGAAACTATTCAAATTATTTTGGCAATTTTGTAAAAGTGGAAAAGCAATCTAATGAGACCCAATTCTCCTAAACTTTCTGTGAGGGTAAAGAACTATTTTAGAACTTTCCTGAGATTATATGTAATATATATATTCACCAAATAAATTTACTAAGGTATGTTTGTGGTATTCATTCAGCATTTTTAACCTATTACATGTTAGACACTGATGGGTCCCTGAGGTATAAAGATTAATGCCTTTGAATAGTTACTAGTAGATGAGCCAGATATTTAGTCAAATAAGTATAATGCAATGTGACTAAGGAAATAGTACAGACGTAGACAAGTGTTATAAGAACACAGATTTCACAGACAAGATATTTAACCTAAGCAGAAAAGACATTCTGCCAACAGGAATGGGAGGTTGAGATGTATAACACAGGAACACTTAATATATTTGGGAAAAAGCAGACGGAGCTAAAACAAAAAGTACGTTTTATGGAGTAAGTGGAAGATGACACTTGAAAGATAATCTGAAGTCATACTGTGCAGATATATATGTGCTATGTTTAGGGATTTGGACTTTTATTCCTTAGATCCTGGGAAGCCACTGAAATGCTTAATGGCCAAAACACAATGACAGGATCAGATTTCTACTTTTACAAGGTTAAATGACATTAGTACACAGGATGGACTGGTTAGAATGAAGAATAGAGGCAGTCAGTTAGAAAGTTATCACAATAATCAAAACTAGAGAGAATATGTACATAAAAAACACAATCATCAAATGCTTCACTATGATATTAAAATTTTCTCTTTCAATGTCTTGGGAGAATGCTCTTTGAATTCAGAATAACTGCTTCTCAAATTTTCTAAAATCATTTCTAAATAGAAAAAGTGCTTTGTTATTACTCACATACCATAAAAATTTATTAGATTTACCTTAAGATTAATTTATTGAAAAAATGAACCTAAATTAGTTTCCTTTTGAAAATCAGATGTGAAAAAATCCATTGTACTATAACCTATTTTTTTAATAGAAATAGTCTTCATCTTCTCTTTTTAGAAAAGAACACTAGTCCTTCATGACTAGGGGTCGGGGGGGGGAACAATAATCAGCTAAGATTAAAACCCTATTGTAGTGAAAAGTTCAGAACCCTGACCTAACTAGTCTAAGAGAATGCCAGTAGGGCTCATCAGAAAAGGGTGACTTGGAATAAAAGCATAAAGAATTGAATCCCTAACCCTCTCCACTCCCCACCCCAATCCTGCTGCTCGAACACCCTCAGTTAAGGAGTGACCAGTTCTTTGATCTCTTCCCTTTAAAAACAACTAAATTGCACTTGTTTTGACTCCATAATTAAATTTCTTCCTTGTAACAGGGATTTCATTTCTACATTGGTAACTGAGTTGGGTATTTATTAAGAAAACTGATCATGAAAAAGACAATTTCACATATCTTATATTTTATAATATTTTCCAAGATACCTAAATTTAAATAATTTCATGGATGTCCTGACTTCTTTCCATTAGTAAAATTTCTCTTTAGTAAGACAGGGTCTATGTACACAAGCAGAGTAAATTAGCTCCTGTCTCACAGCAGCTGAGAAAATGAATTGCCTAAGAAGATTAGAGTCATTTTCTTTACTTAAAGATATTCCTGACAACCCACACTGAAATTACACAAGATTAACTCCATTAACACCATTTCCCATTCTTTAAAGTAGTAGCTTTCCAGAAAGCAGCATTTAGACTGAATAGTTCAAAGCATATTTGAAGAGGAGATCTCAGAATGCTTAGAAATGCTAATATAAGTATCACTGAAGGATTCAGGATGAGGTGCTGAGAGGTCAAGTAACATATTACCAGCCATACAGTGAGCCATACACAAAATGGAAAGATGCTGCTTGTTCTTCTCTGAGCCATTTAGCCTGCATATCCTTTTTGCAGATAACAAACATTTCAAATCAAATGTTATCTGAAAGGATATAACACTGTTAATCCCTCAAAGGCAGTGATATTATCTGATTCACTTTTTTCTTTCCCCATAGTATCTTCTAGAGTGCCTTTAATTAAGGGGTACTGAAATATCTGTTGATTATTATGTCAGACATCTGGCATTGCTTTGTGGCCTATCAAAAATAGGTAAAGCAGAAGGGCTCAAGAAAAATAGACTAAAACAATACCATAAGACTTTAAGCTATCTCTAAGAAAGAACCTCAAATCTGAAAGCAAAATCCATAGCACAGGCACTAAAACCTTAAACTATCTGTATTAACTGCCATTAGTACCATTAAAGCATATAATACATAAATTTCCTTCTGACGATATACTGGCATGAGCCACCAGAATATTCTGAAAATAATGCCATCATAATCCACCAATTCCCTTACCTTACCTTCTCTGAGCCTTAAGTATTCTCCAGGGTGTTTTTTATTTTATTTTATTTATTTATTTATTTATTAAGATTTTATTTATTTATTTGAGAGAGAGAGAGTGAGAGAGAGAGAGAACACGAGTGGGATGAGGGGCAGAGAGAGAGAAGCAGACTCTCCGAGGAGCAAGGAGTCCAATGTGAGGCTCGATTTTGCAGTCAGCGATCATGACCTGAGCTGAAGGTGGATGCTTAACCAACTGAGCCACGCAGATGCTCCTTCTTCAAGGCTTTCAAGTGCAAAATTAATACACAAATATATTCTTACTTAAAAACCCCAAACACTTCAGATGTAAAGTGAAAAAAAAATGAGAAGTCCTATTTTCCTCACTTCCATATCTTCCTCCAACCTTTTTTTCTATCCTTACATTAATGCAAGAAAAGTTCACTGTTAACCTGGGGCTTCACTTTCTTTTTGGTCTCCTAAAGGTAGTTCCCAGGTGGAAAATATTGAAAACACTGACCCAGATAGTTCTTAAAGATCTTAATTTGAATGAATTGCTCAACTTCCAGATTTAGAAATAGTTATTTCCACTTACAAAAGAAATAAATAAGTCTAAAAGTGTCCTGAATTATAATTACGCTAAGACAGAGTCAGATCAGATCTCAAGGGGAAGTCATTAACCAGTCCATTGTAAAACTTTCATCATATAGCATAGTAGCTGACACTGAAAATTTAGGTGCTGGACACTGTTGTTAGTGTTTCATGAGATTTTCTAAAAAAGGAGCAACTCTCTCACCCTTCTTTTTCAATATTAATATTGTGCCAGGTACCATCTAAAATAACCTCCTGTGATTTGCAATACTTTTGCCCAACAATGTGATACAAGCCCCAAAGTATTCTGGAAAATATTCCAAAATGATTTGGGAATTTCCTGAAGGATTTCCTTTACCTTTATTTTGGTCTCAGAATCTCAAAAGGGAACCTTGTTTCTCTCAAGACATGCTCCAATAGGCCTATTAATCAGTGGCAAGTAATACTGAGTAAGTGGAAATGAAAGTCATTAAAAAAAAACTTGTTTTCAGAAGGCAAATATTAGGTAGATGAAAACAGTACTGATCTACGAAGCATAATCAAGTTCAGCCACATACTATCTTAATTGACCTTGGATAGGTCAGTAAACCACCCAGATATTTTCCCATCTGCAAAATCAGGGAAAATATTACCTACCTATAGGTTGGGTATATGGATTAAAATGAGAGAAGCAGAAGTGCTGGCACAACGAATAATAAATGTTACTTGAATTGAAACTCGCATATGACTTTCAGTTTAGCCTAAGTCACAAACATTGAAGTGTTTTTAGCTTAATAAAAAGACCTCAATTTTTTTTACCTTAGTAATCCTGAGGCTCAGTTTCAAAAACAACCTTGAAAATTAAAACTAATCCAAAGATTATCCTTCTGAAGGCCTGGAATGGCCAGGAAAACTGCAAAAACCTAGGTGACTGGTCATCATTTGGTCCAAAATATATTCAAGACCTTACACTGAAAAAAAATTAACATGTCAAATATTATTGGCATATAAAATAATTCTCCACATCAACAGTATCTGAATACATCTTATGGTGACTTGAAACAAGGTTAGTGATTCTTTCCTTACATATGGCCGAAGTATTAAGTAAATAAATACGGTATCTAAAATAATAGTGCCATCTACAGGCAAAGAAAATATCAATGACAGCACATTTTAACACTTTCATATTTTCTAATTGCTACTCAACATTTAAGAGACATCTAGAATTGAATAATTTACATAATTCACTTTCTGATTATATTTGCAGGATATAATTTATTATATGAAATGGCACTTTTTCTAAATTTTTTACTTAACATAGCATTTTATTTTCAATAAATATTAAGATGATAAAGGTAATTTTAAAAATACAATGGTACTACAAAGTCCAATTTTGGTGTTCTGAGATTTATTTATTATTAAAATATATGACAAAAAAGAAAGTTATTTTCATGTTTTTTCTCTTCCTTCCAAACTTGCATCTGCGGATACTTATTTAACAATAACTAAGTCGCAGGTACTTTTCTAAGCTGCTGTACATCTGTGAACTTGGTAAATCCTCACAATAATCCTATGAGGTAGGTACATTGCCATTCTTATTTCATAGATGTTGAAACCAAAGCACACGAAGCTTAAATAACTTGTCTAAGGCCACATGCTATGTGGCACAGCCAAGGTTCAAACTTGGGAAGTTTTTCCACAGTAACTATGCTTTTAATTACTATGCTAAAGCGCCTCTCTTTGTAAAAGCTGCATTCAGTGTGTATACTGCATTTGTAATATCTATGTTCTGGTTTGAAGGGCAACATTTTCTCACATACCTAAACTTTTATCATCATTTTTAATAACTACATATTTTGCTATCAAGTTGATATATCTCACTTCACTTACTTTAGTTGTCTAATGCTGGACTTTCAAACAATTATAATTTCTTTCATTTTATATAAAAATGTTACAATGAGCAAATTTTGCATTGCATATAATTCTTTTCCTTCTTTTGAATTTTATTTCCTTATGCTACTATACCCAAAATAGTTTCACTGACTTGAGTATATAAAAGTGCCACATTACTGACATGTAATTCTCCATACCACTTTTTAAATTTCATCATCATGTTATACTACCAGCAATGAAAGAATGTTAGATCTTCCTGATCAATATATACCATCCCTCCCAAATTTAACTGATATAAAGTGGTTAAGGATGATTTATGATGTGGGACAGTTAAACAAATATCTCAATTTTCAAATGGGCAAAATGTTTTCTTCCTCCAGCAACATAAAAGGTGGAGACAATCCTATTACTTGTTGCTTATGAGGTTGGTGCTGTCTTAATTCTTTAAGCCTCAAAAAGAATCAATAACATACCCAAAGTCACTAGTAAGTGTCAGAGCTGGAGTCTGAGCCCAGGTCTGTCTGACTCTAAAATCTATGTTTTAGATTATAGGAAAAAATATCACAAAAAGTCAAGAGGCTCAATGTATGTTGAGATAAAGAAACTGTATGAAAATTTTTCTTTCAATCTTCACTGAAGATAATTTATCTCATTAAGGGGTAAGCAACCCTGGGGTAGCTATCATAAATGTAGGGATTATATTTCCCTAATGTATTATTCTGATCAGTAATTGCAAAAACAGAAAAGAATGACAATAATTAACAAAATGCTTCATTTCTGTTTCTCTCCAACCATCTTACAATCTAGTTTCATCTACATTCTAAGCAAGGAGCTAGAGGATGTAAACATTACTCCAAACATGTTTTTTTCTTACATGTTATCTTGCAGTATTATTTGTTTTGAATAGTCAAGAAAGATTATAAATTTTATAACACAGAATAAAGATCACTGAAACATTAGATAATAGAAAGAACATAGGCTTTGGGGTCTTAAATTCAGATGCTGCGCTTACTTAGCTATATGTCCTTTAGAACATCAGCATCAAACTCCTACTTCACCAGGATGTTTAGTAATTACAGGAGATAACAATTATAAGGCTGCTAGCACATGGCAGGTGCTCAAGAAATTTTAGCTCCCTTCCTTTTAAAGAGTGACATACAGGGCGCCTGGGTGGCTCAGTTGGTTAAGTGACTGCCTTCAGCTCAGGTCATGATCCCAGGGTCCTGGGATCGAGTCCCGCATCGGGCTCCCTGCTCTACGGGGAACCTGCTTCTCCCTCTCCCAGTCCCCCTGCTTGTGTTCCCTCTCTCGCTGTGTCTCTCTCTGTCAAATAAATAAATAAAATCTTTAAAAAAAAAAAAAAGAGTGACATACATATATATGATTATATCAAGGGTAGTGGTTCTAAAAATCATGTTTCATTATCTCCCTCAGACAGACTGTCGCATAACACGAAGCATCAAGATCGAAAGAGATCAGAAGAGATAAAGTTGCTTCATCAATGTGGGAACCTTCAGTTTTGACATCAATTTCATGTTCTTCCATTAGTTGGTATGAGACATTATGGGGATGTTTCAATATCTGTCTATAGCATCCTGGAACATTGAGTTTCAGAGTTGGTACTTTAAACCTACATGTCTGTAGTCCATCTCTGCTAAGTATTTCCTGGTACCACTGCCCAACTTTATTCTTTGGGTACTGAATATTGTATCCAAGCATTGGAAGAACCACCTGTGCAGAAGAAGGGGGACAAAATTACATGAAACAGCCTTCAGAAAAATATATGATCATTATATCACTAAGATTTGGTGTATAAGAAAATCACTGAGATATAATCATTATGTCTCAGGATATAAACATTACAATCAGCCTAAAACATGCTATTGAACGCTACACTACTTTGATTATTTTAAATGCTGCCAGGCAAAGAAAAGAACTAACTACAATCAAGAAGGACTCACAATAACCAAGGTAACAAACTCAAGTCAGATATTATTAGACAAACTATTGTTAATGTAGAGGAGAGGAAACAAGAGGTTTGGGTACATTTAATTAGCCAACAAAGACTTAATCTCAATGTAGTCATACAATCTTAAAAGCATATTGTTTCTACAACAGAACAAACCCTATTGCTCAATGATATAACTGGTATTTTGGTTGATAACTTCACATTCTTCTTACTTATATAAAAACATGAGCACAAACCAGTAGCAGCAAATACAGTGTTTTGCTCAGCTGCTTATGAGAAGACACTACAGTTTGTAGGGCTTTCCTCCTTTGCTGATGATTTCTAGTCATTTTTCTTAAACACTACCAAAAGGTAGTCGGAAAAAGGAACAAGGTAAAAAATTCAAATACATACAACATGAACAGATTTCAAATTCATTATGCTAACTGAAAGAAGCCAGACATAAAAGACCACAAACTATATGATTCCATTTATTTGACATTCTTTCAAAGGCAAAACGGGGCAGAAAATGGATGAGCTCCTCAGGAGCTGGGGCTGGGGGTGGGGGTTGAATAAAAAGGGGCACAGGGAGATTTTAGGGAGAAATGAAAATGTTCTTTATCTTGATTTTTGTGGTCGTCACAAGACTATGTTTATCAAAACTCTTAGAACTGCAAACTAAGAAGAGAGATATTTATTGCATATAAATTATACCTGAATTAAAAAGTGAAAAAAAAAAAGTGGTTAAGAGAAAAAGGTGGGGAAAAGAACTGATCAACATTTTGTCTTTTGGACACAATATCTACATTTAGATCTAAGTGATACCAATTTTTAAACAAATTTACCTGATGTATTGCATATGTGTTAGCTGATTCCTCTTCTTCCGTTACTAGATGAACCTACATTTTAAAAACATGACGAAAATATGGATGATTCATTTCCTCAATTTTCCCTGTTATGTATAATTTGACTCCTGTGCTGAATATACATATACCCAAACAAGACTATTTTCACAATTTGCTTCTAGACTACATAAAAATTTAAACGATACTTCCTGCTTTAACCACTGATAACTGAAATTGAAACACAAAGAGAATGGTGGTAGCTTAATACCCCGAGGCAACGCTTCCACCTCATCACAGCAGCTTTTCCTAACTTACAAAGTTCTTATGCTGAATCAAAAATCTGCCTCTGGGAAACCACCCTCCCCCACCCCCACCCATCGCCAACAAGTATCATAATACTCTCTGAGAAGTGGTGTTTCTCAAAACGTGTTTCATAGAACAGTAACAGGAGACAGGGGGAAAAAGAGATGTATGTTAAGTGTGAGAAATGTTGCTACAGGACACTATAGAATAAATAAGACTAATTTCTCCAGCACATGAAAGTTCAGGTATGAAGGCAGCTGTTACCATTAAACAAAGATGAACAGCATCCCCACCTTCCTAAGGCTTTCACCATATAATGCAGTGTCCAGATCCCCTCTAACTCTGCTGGCTTTGCCCTCAAGGATGCACAGTCTAATCAATAATTATTGCCCCTCCTTTTTTGTTTTTCATTTTGGGTTTGTATGTTTGTTTATTGGTAAGTAAGCCTTTTAGTTGCTGGACTCAGAAATGGATATAAAACTCTACATGTGATCTGACCAAAAGCCATGGGATGAGGATCTCTCCTGCATCATCATTTCTAGCTTTCTTTCACAAACTCTTAAGCCTACTTACAATGATGCAATTTAAATAATTTATGAAAATATGGAAAAACATGGTCAAGTACATTAGACCATGTTTTGTGGTTAGAGAGCTCCCTCCAGGTTGATATCAATTGATTTTTTTAATTAACAAACATGCTTTTGGCATATGGCTATTCCTCAACTATGAATTCACCTCACCTTTTAATTGTCTGCCACATTTCTCTATCTTGTTCACAAAGAAATTATAAGAAAATCTACCCCAAGTGACTTCAAATAAAGGTATATCTGTTAGTCTAGTAATCCTATCAAGAATCGATTAGTTTCCTACAATTTTTAACTGTAGATGCACAACATTACATGCCCCATATACCATTTAATAGAAACTTTACTATCTTTTTCATTTTCATATCTTAACATCTTGGGCCTGTAAGTCCTGCCTTTTCTATTCTTAGTGCTTACTAGTAAAGTATAAATGATTGGTCTTAAAATATATAAAGACTTTTTTTTCCTAATAGAAGAAAACTTAGCAGGATATGAAGGAGAAAATGTTCTCCTTTCTCCTACAGCTCCAAAAGAAAAACAGATACAGTTCTGATCACAAAACTGTCCTTGCAAATGTTACTTTGAACAAAGAAGTCTTGTAAGACATGTATTTCAGAGATTATTACCATGTCTTGTCAAAGTAACCTTTAACTTCTGAAAATCTGAATTAGGAATGGCTAACTTACTAAATAATGTACAGCCCAGGTAATATTTAAATGAACATATTTCTGGAATGTGTGAAAAAAAAAAAACATGATTTTTCACTATTTATCAAAAGGGAATCACCGACATCTCTTCCATTCATGAAGTAAAATAAGACCTATAATACTAAAAAAAAAAAAAAAGACCCATAATGCTGCTAGATTTCTTTTTACAGTTTCAGATTTTATCTCAGTTAAATGACCGTTCTTAGTGATTTATGCTCCTCGTGATCACTTTCTTATCTAAATATTCATAAGGCACCCATTCAATGAAACAGCAAAGCAGAAACCTGTTGCTCTGACTTGCTCAGCCTTTAATCTCTTTTCTGATAGGCACACCCTCATTTTCAGGGAGCTCCCTGAAACCTCCCGGTTCTCAAATATAATTTGGGTGAGATGGTTCCAGGAAGGATCCTTTGGAACATAGGCTTAGCCAATCACATACTCCAGTCCACAATAATTGCTTTGGGCCCGAACACGGGCCCAAAAGCCAGGCCACTCCTAGCCAGAGAGACTTAATTCCATGGCCTTTATTCCATTGGGAAGAAAAGTTCTCTTCTCTACAAGTTGTAAGAAATAATGCTCATAACCATCTTGCCACCGAAAGAACAAGCCAGACTGAGAATGGCTCTAACAGAGGAAAACATAGTTGAAAGATGAAGAAAATAAGAGACAGACTATTTAGGAAACTGGATATAGCTGTGCCCAAATCAGTCAGAGTCTCAGTTATCAGAGCCAATGAATTCCTGTCCGCTTTTCCTTAAGTTGGTTTGAGGTAGATCTCCATTACTTAAAACCAAAACCAACCAACCAAACAAACAAAAACCTTAATTTATTCATCCAGACTTCTGCTATTAATTTAGATAAAGCTCCCTTTATGCAGAGTTCAGAATCTATGTTTCTTCATTTTTGAAAAACTGGGCCATGTTCTCTCTCTAGATGCTGACACTTTTTCTGTATTCCATGATTTCTCTGGTAGAGATCAATTCGGGCTAGGGCCTTTTAATTCTGCTACCTGTGTCACTTAATCTGGGTCTTGATTTTCATTTCTATAAAATGGGAGTTAAAAAAGAGGGTCTCTAAAATCCTTTTCTCATCTAAAGTTCAATGATGTTATGATGTTATATATGAAAGCACTACTCAAATCCCTCCACTTTTATAACATCTTTGTAAGACTAACTTGAGATAATGTTCTTTTTGCATTATATTATAATTTGTTCTTTTTGCATTATATTATAATTTGTTCTTTTTGTATTATATTACAAAATAAATTTCTTTACTTGACTTATGGTATTCAGTTTCATTATTTAAACTGTTCAAACCCACAAAGATAAAAATACTAGTTGGATAGAGAGGAAATGGAAGAATCAACTTTTATAATATAAATTGTTAAGAGGAAAAAAGCAAGCTGTGAAATCGCAATCATAAAATCACATTTATATAAAAGAAATACACACATTACACACCTCATATACAATTACTATAAAAATTGTATTCTTTTTCATATTTTAAGTTCTGAGCCTGTAAGCCCTTCCTTTTCTTTTCTCAGTTTTCGCTAATAGAATAAAAATACACTCTCCTATGGATATTTTTGTGAAAGCATAGAAAAAGGTCTAGAAGGATACAGGCCAAAAAACAGAGGCTGATTTCCTGGACACAGGGGAGGGAAAGACAGTAAGAGTGGTGACAAGATGACAGCTTCATATGTAAACTTTTGATTTTTCACTTTTAATGATACTACTTTGTGCATTACTTCTGTAATTCTTTAAAACATATTATTTAAAGGAAAGCTTACTGTCTTTGTACCTTTCGCTTAATGCCACTGACTATTTTTATTTTACCATTTATAGACTTGTGTTAAGCCTTAGCTAGCAGCATAGAAGCAGAAGATAAGCAAATACAAATAAAAAAATAAAACGTATGTTTAGTTCTAAATTGTTTCTCAAATAAAGGCTTCTGAAAATTAATGTTCCCAGTGTGGTTACTACTCTTTGACAACGCTGATGAAATGATACTTACTTTACTATTTGTGAAATGTTCATCATCAACATCTTCATCCAAACAGACCAGATCACCCTCTACTACTCTTGATCCATAGGTTGCAAGTCTGTAAGATACTGCCTCATTCCAAATTTTGCTGCTATACGCATGAACGTAGAATATGCGCATTGAATGGGGAAAAGAAAACCATGCCTGGATACATCCCTCCTCCGTCATGCCAAAGCGGTGCAACGACTCCAGCAGAGCTCTCTCGCGAACTTTGAATTCAGGCATCAGTGAAAGTGTGCCTTTAGCATCCTCTGAAATAAAGAGGAAATCAGTGAGTCAACCACTTTATTTACAGGCCAGTCATAAAGACCTTCATTATGCCTTCTAAATGAGAGGCAATGAACTGTGCTCTTTTGAACTTGAATATGAAGATGACGCTTAGCACCAACTATAAACTTAGCTACACCTGAAGGGTTTGTTTGTTTAGTAAAGATCATTAATCATATGATCCATTCTCCATTCACTTTCCCTGCTTTATTTATTTTTATTTTTTTTAAGATTTTGTTTACTTATTTGACAGACAGAGAAAGAGAGCACAAGCAGGGGAAGCAGTAGAAGGAAAGGGAGAAGCAGGCTCCCTGCTGAGCAAGGAGCCCGATGCAGGACTCGATCCCAGGACCCTGGGATCATGACCTGAGCCAACGGTAGACGCTTAACCAGCTGAGCCACCCAGGCACCCCTCACTTTCCCTGCTTAAAAAAAAATAGCAAAAAGCACATTAGTAATACCTACTTCAGAATGGAGATAAACTAATTTGCAATTATTCAGAGGATTTCTTTTTTTTTTTTTTTATTCAGAGGATTTCTTAAAAAAAAAAAAAAAAAACCGCTATATAGACCTCTGAGCCTACATATTTTTGAAGAGCTATTACAAACATTTACACAGACTCTTCTGAGTAAGAAAGGGTTGGATCCATCAAGCGCTAACAGGCCTTGCTAATGGGATGCTTTTTAAAATTAAATTAATGAACTCTACTGCAAAGATGCTTATTCAGGTAGGAATCCTCATTTTAATAAATGTACCAGGTGTTTCTTATGCATCCTCAAGTTTAGGAATCATTGCCATAAGGAAATTATATTCGCAGAACTCTAGATACAAACACATAAGTCATTTTGAGAGTCAAACCCATGTGGATTGACTCTAGAACCCACACTCATAACCACTTTTCTTTGGTGCTTCCCAGGACGCATTCTGCATATAAACCATGATATTGAGCTAAAGTGTCAAAACCGACTGGGCTGAATGGGCAACTAAACCAAAAATAATGCACAAAGTATTGGATACAGCAAACTTTTATGTAATTTGTTTTTAAGTCTCCCCTAGTTGTAGTGTATACTTCCACTGGACCAGGGTAGAATTTGAAATTCTTATCTACTCTGAGGATTTAGACCAAGAAAAACTAAGAAGCTATTTCTCCCCTCACTCCTACCCCCAAGAAGAGTTAAAACAGACAAGTCCTGGATATCTGGCCAAAACTGGAGTGTCTTAGACAGATAATAAAATTATTAAATGTATAATATATTATACAAGTATGTAGCAATAAATGCCCTCCTGCTGACATAACATCTGTATTATGTATTTGTATGACTATGTATAGGGTAAAGAAATTTTTAAATACCAGTTTGAAGAAAATATTTCTTTGCTCTATTTACAGGATCATCCAAATCTTCTGGTGTAAGAAATAATTTTACAGCCTCCACCTTTAAAAATCAAGCAAGCAAACATATGTTAAATGAAAATGACAAATTACTTACTTTTTTATATACAATAGAATATTATGCAGCCATCAAAAGGAATGAAATCTTGCCATTTGCAATGACGTGGATGGAACTGGAGGGTATTATGCTGAGCGAAATAAGGCAATCAGAGAAAGACATGTACCATATGACCTCACTGATGTGAGGAATTCTTAATCTCAGGAAACAAACTGAGGGTTGCTGGAGTGGTGGGGGTGGGAGGGATGGGGTGGCTGGGTGATAGACATTGGGGAGGGTATGTGCTATGGTGAGCGCTGTGAATTGTGTAAGACTGTTGAACCACAGATCTGTACCTCTGAAACAAATAATACATTATATGTTAAAAAAAAAAAAAGAAGAAGAAGATAGCAGGAAGGGAAAAATGAAGGGGGGGAAATCGGAGGGGGAGACGAATCATGAGAAACTATGGACTCTGAGAAACAAACTGAGGGTTCTAGAGGGGATGGGGTGGAGGAATGGGTTAGCCTGGTGATGGGTATTAAAGAGGGCACGTGCTGAATGGCGCACTGGGTGTTATACGCAAACAATGAATCATGGAACACTACATCAAAAACTAATGATGTAATGTATGGTGATTAACATAACATAATAAATAAAAAAAAAGATGTCCAAAAAAAAAAAGAAGCAACCAATAATAACCAGTTATATTTTGCTGAATTTAGTGTCAAGGTATTTTTTCTATAAATCCACACATGTATACATTATTAAAATACTCTTTTTTGTTTATATTGTTTGGGGTCTGCTTGTGTTATTAATATGATCTGAACATTTTCCAATAAGACTAACCATTCTTCTACAACATTATTTTTAATGGCTGCTGTACAATCCCAAAAAAAAGACAAACCTTTTTGGGGCGCCTGGGTGGCTCAGTCGTTAAGCGTCTGCCTTCGGCTCAGGTCATGATCCCAGGGTCCTGGGATCGAGTCCCACATCGGGCTCCCTGCTCGGCGGGAAGCCTGCTTCTCCCTCTCCCACTCCCCCTGCTTATGTTCCCTCTCTCGCTGTCTCTCTCTGTCAAATAAATAAAATCTTTAAAAAAAAAAAAAAAAAAGACAAACCTTTTTTTTTTTTAATTGCCAATTGGGGCACCTAGGTGGCTCAGTCAGTTAAGCATCTGCCTTCAGCTCAGGTCATGATCTCAGGGTTATGGGATGGAGCCCCATGTTGGGCTCTCTGCTCAGTGGAGAGTCCGTTTCTCTCTCTGTGCTCTCCCTCTCTTCCTCTCTCTCTCTCAAATAAATAAATAAAATCTTAAAAAAAAAAAAAAGAGTCATGGTTGTTGGAATTTTTATTTGGCACCTGGGTGGCTCAGTCGGTTAAGTGTCTGCCTTCGGCTTAGGTCATAATCTTGGGGTCCTGGGATCAAGCTCCACATCAGGCTCTCTGCTCAGCAGGGAGTCTGCTTCTCTCTCTCCCTCTGCCCCTCTGCCCTGCTCATGCTCTCTCTCTCTTTCAAATAAAAAAAAAGTTGCCAACTTGTAATATTTTCTTTTAAAAACTAAATAGATTAAAAGATATTCCTTTTGGGCGCCTGGGTGGTTCAGTCGTTAAGCGTCTGCCTTCGGCTCAGGTCATGATCCCAGGGTCCTGGGATCGAGTCCCACATCGGGCTCCCTGCTTGGCAGGAAGCCTGCTTCTCCCTCTCCTGCTCCCCCTGCTTGTGTTCCCTCTCTAGCTGTGTCTCTCTCTGTCAAATAAATAAATAAAATTAAAAAAAAAAAGATATTCCTTTTTTTAATGGTATCTATGAGGTCCTGTATTTATTATTATTATTATTATTATTATTATTATTATTATTATACTGTCTCCAGCACTGTGATTTCTAAGTGTATGTTTTAGAGTAGGAAAGGATCTTAAGATAGATCATTCAACCTAAAATCACACTCAATCTTATTTTTATAGTATTCATTCATTCATTCAAACAAATATATGTTCAGAAGCTAATTCATTCAAATAAATATTACTAAGTTTCTGCTATGTGCTAGGCACTGTGCACAGTACTAGGGATAGAGTGTTGAGCAAGAGAGACATGATGTTTGTTTACTGGTAAAGATCAAATAAACAATAACAATAAAATATAATAAAACCTAAGATGGGAAGTCCAAGAGGCTTTGAGGTAACAAGATAAGAAGAATTCAATTTTTCTTGGGAGTGGGATGAGAATTTAAATTGAGATGTAGAGAATGTAAAAGTTGGGGAAGGGATGTTTCAAAGGAAAGAAAATATGGCTTTCTAGCTGTGGGTCCAGCCTCTAAGTTGGCCCCCAATGATCTCTACTGGCTGGTACTCACACCTACTACAGTCCTCCCCGACACTAATCAGGGTGAGTCTGTGCGCCCAGTAAGTAGAATAGAACAGAAGTAAAGATGTCACTTCCCAGATTACATTATAAAAGACACTGAGATTTCTGTTACGGTCTCTCTCTCACTCTTCTGTGCTCCTGGACTCTTCTCTCTTGGGGAAGTCACGCCATGAGTAGCCCTATGGTGAGAAACTAAAGCTTCCTGCCAACAACCATGGAGTGTGCTTGCAAGCAGGTCCTCTGTGCCCATTCAAGTCTCCAAAGACTGCAGTCCTGGCTGATAGTGTGACTGCACGCCGTGTGAGACCCTGATGCACTAACACCCAGCAAGGCTGTTCCCAGATGCCTGACGCTCGGGAGCAGTGAGACAAGAAATGCTTGTTGTTCTAGTCCACTCAGTTTTGGAGTAGTCTATTACACAGCAACAACTGATAATTAATGCTCTAGCAAACTTTAAAAACAATGAGAACCGTGGAATATGAAGTTTAAAAGAGGGGAGAGCTTTTGTTTAAATGCTATGAGAAACAGGAATTTTATATAATTTGATGTCCTATTTCTGGAATTATAGGGTGTTAAGTTTCTTCTAAATCCTCTATTCAGTTCATTAAGAATTTGGTGAGGCTGGCCAATTCTCTGTTAGGTCTCAAACAAGTATTAAACGCAGGGACATCGCATAGTTTGCTTTACTACAATATGATACTAAAAATATAGTATCTGCTCAATAAGTGTTCAATAATGTAGTATATGGGGGCGCCTGGGTGGCTCAGTTGGTTAAGTGACTGCCTTCAGCTCAGATCATGATCCTGGAGTCCCAGGATCGAGTCCTGCATCAGGCTCCCTGCTCAGCGGGGAGTCTGCTTCTCCCTCTGATCCTCTTCCCTCTCACGCTCTCTGTCTCTCATTCTTTCTCTCTCAAATAAATAAATAAAATCTTAAAAAATAAAAAAAATAATGTAATATATGGTATATGTATGTGTGTGTGTGTATATATATATATGCAATTATATGCTCGGTTAAGAAAGCAAAGGGCTGGCTTATGTAGTAAGTACAACTGACAAGACAAATCAGATCATAGTTTTTTTAAATCCATACCATTTCACTCTTCAGCAAAGCCAATCCAATCTGGTCGGTGTGAACTTTCCTTCCCATCCCAAATCTCTGCGGTCCGTAGTAATTTACAAACCCTTTATTCTATGAATACAAGAAAATCAATTAATTAGAAGTATATTGTGAGGCACCTGGGTGGCTCAGTCGGTTAAGCGTCTGCCTTTGGCTCAGGTCATGATCCCAGGGTCCTGGGATCGAGTCCCGCATCTGGCTCCCTGCTCAGCAGGGAGTCTGCTTTTCCCTCTCCCCCTCCCCCTGCTTGTGCTCTCTCTCATGCTTTCTATCTCAAATAAATAAATAAAATCTTTCTTAAAAAAAGTATATTGTTATGGACTGCATGCCTGTGTTCCCACCAAAATTCATATGTTGAAATCTTAACCTCCAATGTGATGGTATTTGGAGGTGAGGACATTGGGAGGTAATTAGGTTATGAGGGTAGAGCTCTCAAGGATGGAATTAGTTTCCTTATAAGAAAAGAGCATGGAGGGGCGCCTGGGTGGCTCAGTCGGTTGAGCAGCTGCCTTTGGCTCAGGTCATGATCCCAGGGTCCTGGGATCGAGTGCTGCGTCAGACTCCCTGCTCAGCAGGGAGCCTGCTTCTCCCTCTCCCTCTGTCTGCCTCTCTGCCTACTTGTGCTCTCTATCTCTCTGGCAAATAAATAAATAAAATCTAAAGAAAAGAAAAGAAAAGATCATGGGGCTATCTCACTCTCTTTCCACCATGTGAGAATACAACAAGAAGATAAGGCTGGCACCCTGATCTCAGGCTTCCAGCCTCCAGCACTCTAAGAAATAAATTTCTGTTATTTAAAAGTCACCGAGCCTATGGTTTTTTGTCATAGGCCCACAGTGACTACAATAAATAAATATAATTACTGTGTCAGAATACGTAATCAAGTCTTTCTCTTTGTATTTATTTTAAGAAAAGAATACTGTAATCCGCAATACACACATAAGGGCCAAATGGTCTGGGAAATTCTATACAGTTAAAGAACAGAAAGGAGAAAACCAAACAATTAAAAGAAAATAAGACCAACGAAAAAGCTTTAAGATTATGTGAGCTTTCCATTCACAGTACTCAAGGGTATGGTGGGATGCAGGACTTGCAGTGCTAAACCAGTGCTGGGATGAACTGTTCACCTAGGACTGGATCTGATCTTTGCCCTGAAGCTCTTTCTGACTTTGAGATGCTTCCGCTGTCTGGAGATGCTGAGAGTAAGAAATAAATTTACTTCAAACCCAGCAAGTCTTGGTTCCTTTATGTATAACAATTCATTTTTTAGTTACCTTAGTTTCTGAGGGCCTGGGCCAAGACAATGACATGGCACCACTTCCCCAGGAATAGAAAATTGTAAATTACTCTGCAACCTTAAAGACATCGGTCAGTGGATAAACATGCTCTCACAAAGAAAACACCAGGTCCAGATGGTTTCTTGAAAGATAAGAGTCTTTCATGCTCACTTTATGAGTATTTCTCATAACAATTATTATTTCAAATTTGGAAAAATAATATCAAATAACATCCTAGAATAACCAGAAGAACTTTAAGTACCCCTTCAAATTACTTAGAGTTGGCTATAACAAAAGGTTTCTAGAAGTCAAAGTTAGAACCCTCTAAAATAAAACTTCAAAGACTTCTTATTTTCAGAATTAAAGGAAAGTTGGCTAAAGTTAGAATCATTCCTAATGGGGATTTTATAATGGGCAGTTGTATATTCATAAATTCCGAATGAAAGATAGGCAATAAATGCTATGAGAGTTCAGAGAAACTCTCTCCCTTTTTAAAAGGATATCATTTTAATAACAGTTTTTTGAGGGGGGAAAAAAGAATTTTAGATAGGTCTAGGAAAAAAGGGAAAAAACCACCATATAAAGAATATACAATCAGGGGCGCCTGGGTAGCTCAGTCGTTAAGCATCTGCCTTTAGCTCAGGTCGCGATCCCAGGGTCCTGGGATCGAGCTCCACATCGGGCTTCCTGCTCAGCGGGGGGCCTGCTTCTCCCTCTCCCACTCCCCCTTCTTGTGTTCCCTCTCTTGCTGTGTCTCTCTCTGTCAAATAAATAAAATCTTAAAAAAAAAAAAAAAGAATATACAATCAAAGAGTGTCTATACACAGACAAATGTGAATTTAGAAAATCTTTAGTTGGAAGTCATTTTCCTGACTATAAGGCGTAATAGTGATTAAAAACCTGTTTTGCTTGTTTATTTTCCTTTGGAGAGGAATAAAATTGTGTAAAAAGGTCTTTGTGGTCAGAATCTTAGATCACTGTTTCTCAGTGTTAGCTGTAGAGTAAAATCACTTAGGGAGTTTTAAAAAAAATACTAATAACAAAAGCTGCATCCCCAAATGTTCTTATTTAATTGGTTCGGGGGTAGGGATTGACTACTGAGATTGCCAAGAAGCATCCCAGGTTGAGGATTACTGGTCTAGATCAGGGGTTGTCAAATTACTAATGGCCCACAAGTCAAATGTGGCCGACGCTTATTTTTGTAAATAAAGTTTTACTGGAACACAGTCATGCTCATTCGTTTATATATGGTCTATGGCTGCCTCCACACAAGGGCAGTAGAGTGGCTTCATCAGAAACCATATGCCTACAAAGCCAAAAATATTTATCATCTGGCTCTTTACAGGAAAAGCTTGCTAACCCACAGTCTGGATGATCAGACTGAAGGCTATGGCACATTTAGATGCCTGGGAAATATCACTTATATATTTATGTTAAACAGTATTTATTGTAAGACAGAATAAAATGTGTATGATTTACCATTTGTATCCATTGAAAAAAATTCACAATTAGATTGAAAAGAAAAAAAAGATTATGCATAATTCTGATAAGTAATGTAACTATTTACCAAAGATTTCCTGAAAAAAGTACTGAACAAAATTTCCAAAATTAATCCCTTTGCCTAAAATACTATTCTATATGGCATGTGCTAAAAAAACAAACATACAAACAACAACAAAAAACACCTCTCTTCTGATGCAGATAGCCCCCCCCCCTCCGGGTAACTCTATATATTTTTTAAATTACATTAAAGGTTTTTTTTAATACAAAAAAAATGTACTAAGAAAATTAAAAATAAAACAAGTTGTCCTAATTATCATTTTTTTAAATAATGACATATGCACATAAAAAGAAAAGGTACAAAAGAAGAAGAAGTTTCCCTTCTTGCCTCAGCGTAAAGAGAAGGCCTATAAAGATTTTCCTGTAACATTATTTTAAAATTAAGTTTTCTTACCTTAACATTTTCTATTGCCTCCAAAATTCTCTCTCTCAGGTTTGAAGAATCATTTATTTGGTTTCTTAAATTTCTGATGGTAATATCAAAGTGATTTCCCTTGAGCTGACCGAGTCTAAGGGAATCATCTACAGATCGAATATTAAACACATTCATTCTTTTCTTTTCGATTTCTTTTTCAATATTTTTCAACCTATAAATGATAAATCATATAGACTCATTAAATCTTACATTTAAAAATTAATATAAGGTTTAAATGACAGCTGCCAGACAACCACTTATATCAGAACACTAAAAAATTTTTTGGAATTCAAAAGGTAATGCTATTTCAACAAATGTGCACTAAAAAACCCCATTACTATAGGATTATATTAACAGAGTTACTTTATGACCTGAAATAATTCAATCATTTAAAATCTGCCACTTCTCAAAGTTTGTCTTAAAACTACCTACATTTTCAGTGTAAATTTAAGACATAACACTATTTAGAAGATAATCAGATTATTAAGGCAGGATGTGCTGCTCAATAAGCTTTTAATCAATTAATTACTATTGATAGGGAGGTTAATATGCTCCTAGTGTTCTAAGTTTTTAATCTCACATTTATTTATTTGATGCAATAAGAAAGTAAAGTTCTATCTTATAAAGTAATGTTTTATTACCTCTCTGGAGTCACTTTTCTAACAACCATTGCTTGATAGGTGATGGCTTTCTTGTCTTTTAGGCCTGCATAACTAAAATCTGAAGGAATCACACCAAGTTTGATAGCTAAAAAACCAAGTGCTTCAAACATTTCCAGATTTTCTTTTCGTAGGGTAAAAGCTGAAACAAACAAACAAAAATCCCAGATTACACACACACATACACACACACACAGCTATGATACATCAACTACATTCTTAGTAGACTAATAGATTAATATAATGAATCAAATTTTTAATATAAGTATTTTTTAACAAGATATAAAATCAGTGTCTTAGATTTCAGCAGTCATTTGAAAAATGCTAATTGGCTCAGGAAAGGCTTATAGAAAAAACATCTAAATCTCTTACTTTGGCATTTATATCTGACCCCAGTCTCCCTTTTCAGTCTCCGCACGAATATCCTGTATGACACAGAGAATGTCTCAGAATCCGTGGATGGACTAGAGCCTTCCACAGCTTTGTAGTTTCTCACATTTGAATCCTCTGTTTAAAATGTGTTCCTTCCATTTTACTTGCCACACTTGTATTTATTTTTCATGATCCAACAGTAGCAGCAGTTCTCCCTTAAGTTCTTCCCAGGTTCCCAAGACTGAATGCTCCTAAAGCAGGGATCATGTTTGTTTTCTCAACTGTTATACCCACAGTCTAACACACACTAACTATTCAAATAATTGTTGAATGAATACATAAACTCCACAAGGTGCTGATTACACAAAATTGCATGTCTCCACAAGTTGTCATTATCAATATCATGACACTTGCCACTATGCATTATAATTTCTCTTTATGTTTGCCCACCCCATAAACTGGGAGTTCCAAGCCAGCAAACCAACAGATAAAACGGCACTTGCTTTGTGGTAGATGTTTAAAATGTCTACTAGATGACAGGGTGGGAGTGAGATTGGGAAGGTAGGGAGAAGGAACAAGCCCAGTAACAACTACCACCAAAGAAGTTCCCCAATATGCTGGCCTATAAACCAGCCAGCACTGATAATAACAAAATACCGCAACCCACAGTTCACAATGTTTACATATAAGATACATCAAACTACTGCCCTTTTCCCTCTAATCATGAAAAGGAAATTCAGGGTTTTTTGCAGAATAATTTATATTTTGTTCAACTGCTATAATTGTCATCCGCAGCTACAAGGGTCTCCCCGAATAGTGAATACTCTAAGAAAAATGAACGTTAAACATAAACGTTGATTCAGGAAGTAGAAGGATGGGAAATGTATATATGTATCTATCTATCCATCTATGAATATATAAAATAGCTAAACAAGTGCTTATAATAACCACATTTTAGAATATCATACAGTTGTTTAAAAGATTGGGGAAGATCGGGCGCCTGGGTGGCTCAGTTGGTTAAGCGACTGCCTTCGGCTCAGGTCATGATCCTGGAGTCCCAGGATCGAGTCCCACATCGGGCTCCCTGCTCAGCGGGGGTCTGCTTCTCCCTCTGACCCTCTTCCCTCTCGTGCTCTCTGCCTCTCATTCTCTCTCTCTCAAATAAATAAAATAAAATCTTTAAAAAAAAAAAAAAAGATTGGGGAAGATCTATATATTTATATCTTCATATGAATAACCTCTAGAAACATGATAACAGCAGGTTTCAAAAATATACACAGTGCATATAATTTATGTGAAAAGTGTTAAAATCTATAATGCAATGTTGTATATTTTCAATGTTTGAATTTTTACAAGAAAAATATTTTTTACTATGTTTAAGAATTTTAAAGTATAAACAAACAGCTATAATTTCTGAAGAACATTCAAGCACTATCCATTACTTTCTAGATTTATTTTTACCACTAAGGCTGTTATTTTTGTACTATCCATACAGCTCCCCAGATTTCTCGAAATTTTCTATTGCAGCAGTGATAAGTTAAATGTATTATGACCTCTGTTATTCTTAAAGAACTGATAAAAGAGGTACAAGAAAGGAGAGAATCATACAAGCTAATTCTGTGTGCTAAATCACAATTTGTTCTTTACACTTTCAGGGTATCTTAACCAAATAGATTCTAATATAAAACTCTGATTCCAGGACAGCTGTTTACATCACTTGTTTCAAATAAAATGAAATTAAAAGCCCATATTTAAAATGTAGAGAAATTACAACCTCAAAATATCAGCTTTTGTCATGATAGGATTTAATTACAAAGTTTAAATAAAATGATTTCAGAAGATGTGCTGGGCTAAGGATATAATGGTCAATAAAACAAAAATGATCCCTGCCTTGGAAGCATTCAGTCTTAGGAGGCTGAAAAGAATCTGAGGAAATGTTGCTGTTCTGGGTGTTTAAAGAATGAAAAGAAGTATGGCAAACAGCCAAAGCAATAAGATCAAAATATCAAATATTTCAATATTTGTAGGATTTGTGGGACTCTATTATTTTATGGGGCCTATAATGTTCTCCCTTTTCCAACTATATACCTGTGTGAAGCTGAGTTTTGTTCCTTTGATTCGATCAAAACAAGAAATTCCAAAAGATTGAATGCAAGGACAGATATGAGAATCAAGCTGACTTTTATTAAGTCAGATATTAGAAAGATTTGCAGAACTATAAAACAATGCCTCTTGTTACTAATTTTTAGTTGAAAAATATGGTTATTTTTCATTAAAAATTGTTTTCATGTTAATAGTAATAGGTTACCTTAAACAAATTCGTATTTTTGGATTTTCTGGGGTTTTTGTAATTGAAGTATAGCTGACACACAATATTACCTTAGTTTCACATATACAACATGGTGGTTCAACAATTTCTCTGTTTTAATAGGTTAGATATCAATAGGTAATAACCACACAAATAAAAGTTGTTTGGGGTCTATAATAACTTATAAGAGCTATACTCTTCAGGTGTCCTAGAACCAAAACTTTTGAGAGTCAATTAAGAATAACGTGAAAAAATATAGGTAGTCCCTCAAATATATCAAATCTGTGGAACTAGACAGAAGTCACTAAGATATCTTAAAAGTAAAAGAAATGCAAAATTTGGTCAACTGTTGCAGTGGGCTGGCTAGGTGTTACAAACTTTTCAAAGTAGACCAGGAAACTGTTCTACATAGAAGGCGGCCAAGAAACCAATCCATAAAAGTTGTAAAGTTCATGTGTTTGATAAGTGGAATTTGATATGTCAAATCTGTCGCTGACAATCTGGGCATGTCACTCACTAGTTGTTAAGCAAGCTCAGCATGTAGGAAGGAACCTCCAGATTGTCTGAAATTATATCATTTGTTGCTGGTCAGCCTTAGTGCATAAGCATTTTTTTTTCATTTGTGATGATTTAGAACTTAAATACGAGTATTTAGGAGAATCAAATCCATGATTTCAGTATTTGTGTTAATGAATCTCTATCTTATATACTTGGAATGTTTAAGAGAATGAGATGTACCTAATTCTAATTATAAATGTCTAACTGATTTATATTTGTCTTTTTACATTGAAATCTCACTAAGTTAGTAAATAATATGGGAACACGCAGGAAAACTTAAAGGCCACCAAATTTATACTTTTAATTTATAAGATTTATAACATTTTCTTGATTACTTGGAAAAAGTGAAGTGCTTAAAAAGAAAATCAACTATGCTAAATTTTAAAATTCAATTTCCACTTCTAGCCATGTTAGAATAATTGGTACTAGATATGATCTTCCATGATAAATAGATAGAAAGCTAGACAAAACATAGGAAATACCTGTTTTCAGACACTAGAGAAACAGGCAGCACAGAACTGTGATTCAAAAAGAAAAGGAAAACAAAAGAAGTGAGCCTAAAATACTGTGGTTTTTTTGCCTAGAGATAGATACTTTCTAGAGGAATCCAGGTAGAACAAAGCGGTTATGCTGAATTAAAAGGGTTAGAGGTTAGAGTTCAGGAAGGCTGAGTAAGCTGGAACTCACAAGGCAGAGTTCTAGATAAGAGGAAGCTGTGTATGCACAGAGAGTTCCAGAAATCTACATAGGTGATCTCTTGAGGTATTTGCTTATTAGTGATCTGCACATGCCTAGGATTAATTACTATATACTACTTATATAATATTGCGTAACAAGTCACCCCAGACCTTAGTGGCTTACAATGTTCACTTATCTCTCATAGTACCTGTGGGTCAGGAATTCAAGAGCACTGTGGTTTGGTGGTTTGAGCTCAGGCTCTCCCTTGAGGTTGCAGTTAGATGTGGCTGGGGCTATAGTTATTAAAAAGCCTGACAGGAGCTGGAGGATCTATTTCCAAGGGGACTCCCTCCCATGGCTGACAAATCGGTGCTGGTTACTGGCTAGAGGCCTCAATTCTCCAGTGTGATGCCTGGATACCCTCACAGCGAGCAATCCAAGAAACAGGCAAAAAGTAGAACACTTTTTATGATCTAGCCTTAGAACTCATACACCATCACTTCTGCCATATTCCACTGGCCACAAAAGGCATTTGTGTGAACACCAGGAGAAGAGCACCGAGAATCTTCTTGGGGTTGAGAACAAGTACCCATCTTCTGGCTCTAAGACTATTAGTCCCACTACATACACCCCAAATTCAAAATACACTCATTCCTTCCTGAGGCCCCCAAAACTCACACCATAAAAACAGCTCAAATTCTAACATTTTTCATCTAAATCAGGTCTAGATATAGACAAGGCTGCTTGAGTACATATCAAATTAGAATCCTCAAATACAATTTCTCTTAATATGAAGGCTAAGAAGGACTACAACACGAAGAGACAACTCTGCTTTTCACACACCTTACAATGTTCAAACACACATAGGACAAGTGCTATACACTCTTTATTTAAACTGGGAGAAAACTGGAGGAGAGATCTAATTAAATATCAAGGACATGCAGGAGAAACCACAGAAGGATCATACTATAATAGTAGAACTATATGACACTTCTAGAGTAAAGCCTACTCTGGCCCTCCCTTAATAAAATTCAAAATGAAGCCTCAAATAGATCTACAAATTACTTCCTTCCTGTTAAAACGAAGTTCAACACTCTTTAAATGAAGACAATATAATCCAAACTCTCAACAAGGTAACATTCACAAAGTTTGACCCCCCCAAAATATTACTAAACATGCAAAGAAGCAGGAAAATATGACCAATAACCCAAATAAAAGTCATTCAC